AGAGTGGAAATAAATGATATAGAAACAAAAACAATAACAAAAACCCAATAGAATAGATCAGTGAAACCAGGAGCTAGTTCTTTGAAAGAGTTAATAAAATTGATAAACACCTAACCAGACTATCAAAAAGGAATGAGAAAGGATCCAAATAAATAAAATCATGAATGAAAAAGGAGAGATCACAAGCAATACCAATAATAAGAAAATATTATGAAAAATTATATGCTAACAAATTGGGCAATCTTGAAGAAATGGATAAATTCCAAGAAACATATTAATTCCCAAAAACAGGAAGAAATAGAAAGTTTGAACAGATCCATTACCAGCAAAGAAAGTGAATCAGTAATTAAAAATTTCCCAAGAAGCAAAAATTCAGACCAGATGGTCTCCCAGAGGAATTCTACCAGACATTTAAAGAATGTTCCAAAAATCAAACTGTTCTGAAAAGTAGAAATGGAAGGAAAACCTTTGTTCCAAACTCATTATAAGAGGCCAGTTTTCTTGATTTCAAAGCCAGACAAAGCAAAGCAGGAGGCATCATGATTCCAGAATTTAAGCTATATTACAAAGACAGTATGGCACTGGCACAAAAACAGACACATAGATAAGGGAACAGAATAGAAAACCCAGAAAAGGAACCATAACTGTATGGTCAACTAATCTTTGATGAAGCTGGAAGGAATATTCAATGGAAGTCATCTGCGAAAAGTGAAAGTTTGACTTCATCTTTGCCAGTTCTGATGCCTTTTATTTCATTTTGTTGTTTGATTGCTGATGCCAGGACTTCCAGGGCTGTGTTAAACAACAGTGGTGAGAGTGCACAGAAAGAGAAATCAAGAACCTGATCCCATTCACATTTGCACCAAAAAACCATAAAATACCTAGAAATAAACATAACCAAAGATGTAAAAGATCTGTATGCTAAAAACTATAGAAAACTTATGAAGGAAATTGAAGAAGACACAAAGAAATGGGAAAACATTCCATGCTCATGGATTGGAAGAATATTGTTAAAATGTCAGTACTACCAAAGCAACCTACACATTCAATGCAATCCCAATCAAAATTGCATCAGCCTTCATCTCAAAGCTAGAACAAACTATCCTAAAATTTGTATGGAGCCACAAAAGACCCTGAATAGCCAAGGTAATATTGAAGAAGAAAACCAAAATGGGAGGCATCACAATCCCAGACTTTAGCTTCTACCACAAAGCAGTAATCATCAAGACAGTATGGTATTGGCACGAAAAGAGACACATAGACCAATGGAATAGAATAGAGAACCTTGAATTGGACCCAAAAGTGTACAGCCAACTAATCTTTGACAAAGCAGGAAAGAGTATCTAATGGAAAAAATACAGCCTCTTTAACAGATGGTGCTGGGAGAACTGGACAGCAACATGCAGAAGAATGAAACTAGATCATTTTCTCACACCATACACAAAAATAAACTCAAAATGGATAAAGGACCTGAAAGTGAGACAGGAAACCATCAAAACCCTAGCGGAGAAAGCAGGAACCAACCTCCTCGACCTCAGCTGCAGCAATTTCTTACTCAACACATCTCCAAAAGCAAGGGAATCAAGAGCAAAAATGAACTATTGGGACCTCATCAAGATAAAAAGCTACACAGCAAAAGAAACAATTGATAAAACTAGTAAGCAACCTACGGAATGGGAAAAGATAGTTGTAAATGACATATCCATTTTACAAAGGGCTAGTATCCAAAATCTATAAGGAACTCACCAAACTCCACACCTGAAAAACAAATAATCCAGTGAAGAAATGGGCGGAAGACATGAACAGACAGGTATACTTCAAGTGGGAAACACAGTTTTTATCAGCACCCCACCCCCATCCCATATCTTCAGCTTGTCTGGAAAACATATATATAATCACAAAGACATATTGATAACTCATGCTAAGTGACAATTGAATGAAGTCTAGCTGCAGGTGTTCAACGAGTCTACAGGGAGATGTCTGAGGACACTGGAGACAAAATTACTTCTTTTAGAATTATGGGTCCGACACGTTAGACATTTTGGTAGACTGTCTTTGCAATTTTATGGAGGTTTTCCCACTAATGATTATTTATCATTTGAGTCATCTTAAATGCACTACAGTGGTTGAAGGAACGCAAAAATTTAAGAAATGGGGCTTGTCGAGGACCTGGCAAAAATGAAACAAGCATCTTGGGTTTCCCATGGCCTCAACTATTCATTTAATTTATAGCCATTGCTTATCTGCCTCCATTTCTCTGATTCAGAAGCAGACTGTTGCCATGTTAGAGGGATATCAGGATAGCAAAAGTCTGGCAAAGAGGTACCATCAGAAGCAGAATGGTCCTCATCCAAATGTGCTACAGTCATTATAGATTCTGTTGCTGCAGCCTTGTCATGGAAGGCGGCTTGATCACATATTGAAAGTTCTTTCCAAAGATTTCTTTTTCATAAACCTTTTTTAATTTTCTTTTTTTAAACTCAGATTTGTCCTATGTTTTCCCTCTTTAAAAAAACAGTCTCACTTTAGGAGAAAATTACTTGATTTTCCCTCAACAAAAATATATCTCTGCATCTCACAATTTTTTCTTACCAAAAACATCCATCTTACTTTCTTTGCACACAAAGTTTTTTCCCTTATTATTTCCAATGATCTAATAAGTTACACTTATTAGAATTTTTAAGCCTTAGAAACCTTAATTTCTAATGAAAATTTAGCAGTAATTGTAAACTGTTTTTTCACAATTCTCTAGATTTGCACGTTTATGAATATATCTCATAATTTTTAGAAGCATATGCCTTTTTAAATTTTCCAGTGGAACATGAACAGATCAGGACATCTTTTAGTTTCTCTGCAACTAGAAGTCAAAATTACATAAACCTATGTTTAGTGATTAATGTTTTAGTATTTTGTTTTATTTGGAAGTGATCTAGATATTTAATGAATTTATGTATGTATGCATACATATATGTATGTATGTAAATATGCTCCATGACCAGCATGGAGATCAATGCAGAGCTTGAACTCATGACTCTGAGATCAAGACTTGAGGTGAGATCAAGAGTCAGACACTTAATGGACTGAGCTACCCAGGTGCTTCAATATTTAACAAATTTAACTTAACTCATCATTTAACTTAACTCAGCAAAATTTTAAGGTTCTAGGTTCCCAATAAGATATAGAAAAACTATTTAAAATGTTAGTTTTACTTGTTCTTAACAATTTATGCTTAGGTTACTCATAAAAACTTTGCGATACATTAAAGTCAATCAGTCTTCCAAGTTATTTTTCTTTTTCATTAATTATTTTATTTTATTTTTTATTCTTTGAGAGAGGGAGAGCACAATCAGGGAGAGGGGCAGAGCGAGAGTGAGAGATAATCTTAAGCAGGCTTCATGCTCAACATGGAGCCTGGCATGGTGCTTGATCCCATGACCATGGGATCATGACCTAAGCTGAAACCAAGAGTCTGATGCACACCCAACTGAGCCACCCAGGTGCTCCTCCAAGCTAATTCTCTTTTAAATATTCTGTAACAGGGATAATATTGACTTATAGGACTTTAAGTAAACCTAGGCAGAATAAAAGTTTTTTATTTCATTGCTGATAAATCTAAAGACATGTTTATTTTAATGAAACCAACAACCTTAAACAAGCTTTCATATTGAATAGTTTTCTGGATCACATGAAATTGAAAAAAAACCATTTGGGTTAGTTTCTATCTTTTTGAGAGGTCTAGAATAGTCAGTCCTTATTAGCACTTGTCTTCAAACCAACTAAATAGAACTCTTTTGAAAATTAATGGAGTTTTTTAACATTTGTACTTGTTCCTAGAATTAATCTTAAGAAAGCTGTGCTAGAGTCTGGTCACAAGAGCCTTTTTAGCAGTTAATTTTAATGTGTTTTTTTTTTTCTTTTTTTTGAGAGAGAGAGAATCCCAAGCAGGCTCCACTTTCTCAGGGCAGAGCCTGACATGGGATACCAACTGACAAACCGTGAGATCATGACCTGAGTCAAAATCAAGAGCTGGACACTTAACCAACTGAGCCACCCTGGAGCACTGGCAGTTTATTTTTTTAAATACTTTTCATTTTTCTTTCTTTCTTTCCCCCTTCAGTCTCAGGTAATTTTGGGCTATGTTTGCATTGCAAAGACATAAGATGTATAACATCAAGGGGAAGGAAAAAAAAGTGAGTTCTTCCAAGAAGGATTTTGATTTTCTAAGGCCAATAATTTATAGGGTTTTTCAGATAAACAAGGGAAGTTTTGGGATTGGAAAGGAATAGGTGAATTTTGAACTGCCTGTAGACTGACTTTTGTTTTGTAAAAGATTTATAAGATAAGAACGTTGTTTTCAATTCCTCAAAGAATTGGGTTATAAATTAAATAACATTATAGGTTAATCCATCTATCTTATGACATTATCCTCTTTTTTTGCTTTCCCTCTGGGTACATAGTTTTGTTGTTTTTTTAATTCCAGTATAATTAGCATACAGTATTATATTTGTTTCATGTGTACAGTACGGCGATTCAACAAATCTATACATTACTTATTGCTCATCGTGATAAGTGTACTCTCAATCCCCCTGATCTATTTCACCCATCACTCCACACAGTTCCCCTCTGGTAACCATAAGTTTGTTCATAGTCTATATTTATGAGTCTGTTTTTTGTTTTTTGGGGATTTTTTTTTTTGCTGTTTTTTAGGTCTCTTTTTCCTTCGTTAGTTTGTTTTGTTTCTTAAATTCCACATAAGTGAAATCACATACTATTTGTCTTTCTCTGACTATTTCAGTTAGCATTATACCCTGTGGATTCATCCATTTTGCTGCAAATGTCATTCTTTTTTATGGCTGAGTAACATTCATTGTGTTCAGCGATCAACGGACACTTGGGTTGCCTCCATAACTTGGCTATTGTAAATAATGCTGCTTGGGTACATAGTTTTAATTGTAAATATTTCTGGCAGTATTGAATAACATCTCATGGGTGTCCAACAGGCCCCCAAAGAGAGTGCAAAGGATACTATCTTCCTCAAACCCAGAGTCACTCCCACAGACAGTCAAAAGAAAAAAACAACTTGTACGTAACAGGCGGGCAGAAAGCCAAGCCTACTTATGCAAAATGAAACAAGTAAGAAGGCAATTCCTATCCCTTGGAGATAAAAGAACAATACACAACGGATTTGCATTTGGAAATGAAGGGACAACAGTGAGAATTTCTTTTTCTCCCTGGACGGGGCACCACAGAGATTCAGAAGAACTGATTCTGGTAAGAATTTTCATCTTTCACTGGCTTTTGACAGTTTTTCCAGGAACCCCTCTGAAGGCTCTGGTATCCACCAGAGTTTCCCTTTAGCTGTTTAAGGAAAGAATGTAGCAGTTAACCAGAAAATTCCCGTTTCTTCAACTCTGGGAGGATACGGGAGTGTCTGTAAAAGCATTAAATTGGAAGACTTTTGCTTACAATTAGGTAGTCTTTCTAGAGTGGGAAAACAATTTAGACAGAGGATTAATAGAATGAGTACACAGAGGAGGGTAGAGGTGAACCATAAGAGTTACATCAGTCTAATTGTTGTTGTAGGTAGTCAGGGAGCAAGAATTTCCCATTCCTTTCAGGACCCATCAGGCCAGATTAGGAATCAAACTGACAGGAGACAAATTAATAGGAGAAAATCAAATTTAATTTTGTATGTACTGGGAATTCACATACACATGGAAATTCCAAGATAGTCGGGCAAAATGAGGTATGTATGTCACTGTGAAGTAAGGAGAAGAGCGTGGGCTCTGGGACTTTAGAGGGAAGAAACGCAACTCACGGGGAGATAAGAAAGAGTAAAGGTTGGTAAACAAATGTTTGCAGACCTCTAAAAAAATGTGAGACATACAACACTTTGATTAAACAAGTCTTGCTAGGTTTCTTCCTGTCTGCCACACCTAGTTCATGTCAAAACATAGTTACCTATGGTGATAGCTCTCTGCCTGGAGCAGATCCTCTATCTAGATTCCTTTTAGGCAGTTGTGGAGAAGGTAAAGAGCTTTTCCTGAATCTGCTGGGATTTGATTACTTTCTTTTGGTCAAATTTTTATTAAATTCTAGTTAGCTAACATATAGTTTATTATTGGCTTCAGGAGTAGAATTTAGTGATTCATCACATACAATACCCAGTGCTCATCCCAACAAGTGCCCTCCTTACTACCCATCCCCAAACTAGCCTATCCCATGGAACCCCTCCCCTCCAGCAACCCTTGGTTTATTCTCTAAAGCTAAGAGCATCTAAGGTTTGTCTCCCCCTTTCTCTTTTTTTCCCTCTTTCCTCTATGTTCATTTGTCTTGTTTCTTAAATTCCACATGGGGTGAAATCATATGGTATTTGTCTTTCTCTGACTGACTTATTCCACTTAGCATAATACACTCTAGCTCCATCCACATCATTGCAAATAGCAAGATTTCTTTTTTTTTTTATAGCTGAATAATATTCCATTGTATATGTATATACCACATCTTCTTTATCCATCATCAGTCAATGGACATTTGGTCTCTTTCCGTAGTTTGGCTATTGTTGATAATACTGTTATAAATATCAGGGTCGTGTACCCTTTTGAATCTATATTTCTGTATCCTTTGGGTAAATATTTAATAGTGCAATTGCTGGATCATAGAGTAGTTCTATTTTTAGTTTCTTAAGGAACCTCCATAACGTTTTCCATACTGCACCATGTTTGCATTCCCACCAACAATGTAACAGGGTTCCCTTTATCTACATTCATGGCAACACCTGTTGTTTCTTGCAGTGTTAGTTTTAGCCATTATGTCAGGTGTGAGGTGGTATCTCATCATGGCTTCTATTTGTATTTCCCTGATGATGAGTGATGTTGAGCATCTTTTCATGCATCTGTTAGCCATCTGGATGTCTTCTTTGTTGTTGTTTTTTTAAATATTTATTTATTTATTTTTGAGAGAGAGACAGAGCATGAGTGAGGGAAGGGGCAGAGAGAGACACCCACACCCACACAGAATCTGAAGCAGGCTCCAGGTTCTGAGCTGTCAGCAACAGAGCCTGATGTGGGGCTCAAACCCATGAGCCATGAGATCATGACCTGAGCTGAAGTCAGACGGTTAACCGACTGAGCCAGCCAGGAGCTCCTGGATGTCTTCTTTGGAAGAATGTCTGTTCATGTCTTAAATGGGCTATTTCTCTTTTGGGTGTTGAGTTTGGTAAGTTCTTTATAGATAGATACCTAATCAGATATGTCATTTGCAAATATCTTCTCCCAATCCATAGGCTGCCTTTTAATTATGTTGATTGTTTCCTTCACTGTGCAGAGGCTTTTTATTTTAATGAAGGCCCAGCAGATCATGTCTGCTTTTGTTTCCCTTTGCCTCTGGAGATGTGTCTACTAAGAAGTTACTATGGGCAAGGTCAAAGAGGTTGCTGCCTGTGTTCTCCTCTAGGATTTTGATGGTTTTCTGTCTCACATTTAGGTCTTTCATCCATTTTGAATTTATTTTTGTGTATGGTATAAGAAAGTGGTCCAGTTTCACTCTTCTGTATGTTGCTGTCCAGTTTTCCCAACACTACTTGTTGAAGAGACTGCCTTTCTTTCACTGGATATTCTTTCCTCCTTTGTCAGGATTAGTTGACCATATAGTGTGGGTCAACTATATTTCTGGGTTTTCTATTCTATTCCATTGATCTATGTGTCTGTTTTTGTGCCAGTACCATACTGTCTTGATGATTACAGCTTTATAATATAGCTTGAAGTCCAGAATCGTGATGCCTTCTGCTTTGCTTTTCGTTTTCAAAATTGCTTTTGTTCTTCAGGATCTTTGGTGGTTCCATGCAAATTTTAGGATTGTTGTTTTAGCTCTGTGAAAAATGCTGGTGGTATTTTGATAAGCATTGCATTAAATACATAGATTGCTTTGGATAGTATAGACATTTTAACAATAATTCTTCTTTTGATACATGCGCATGGAATGTTTTTCCATTTCTTTGTGTTCTCCTCAATTTCTTTCATAAGTGTTCTATAGTTTTCAGAGTAGAGATTCTTAATCTTTGGGTCGGTTTATTCCTAGGTATCTTACAGTTTTTGGTGTAATTGTAAATGGGATTGATTCCCTGGTTTCTTTTTCTGCTGCTTCATTATTGGCGTATAGCAATGCAACAGATCTTTCTTTCTCTTTCTTTCTTTCTTTCTCTTTCTTTCTTTCTTTCTTTCTTTCTTTCTTTCTTTCTTTCTTTCTTTCTTTCTTTCTTTCTATTGTCAAGTTAGCTAACATACAGTATGGTATTGGCTTCAGGAGTAGAGTTCCATGATTCATCACTTACATACCACACCCAGTTCTCATCCCAACAAGTCCCCTCCTCAATGCCCATCACCCATTTTCCCCAGCCTCCAATCCCCAACCCCATCAACCTTCTGTTTGTTCTCTGTATTTAAGAGTCTTATGGTTTGCCTCCCTCTCTGTTTGTATCTTATTTTTCCTTCCCTTCTCCTATGGTCTTCTGTTAAGTTTCTGAAATTTGATGTATGAGTGAAATCATGTGATATCTGTCTTTCTCTGACTGACTTATTTCACTTAACATAATACCCTCCAGTTCCATCCACGTTGAATGCAACAGGTTTCTGTACATTGATTTTATATCCTAAAACTTTGCTGAATTCATGTATTAGTTCTAGCAATTTCTTGGTGGAGTCTTTGACTTTTCTACATAGAATATCATGTCATCTGCAAATAGTGAGTTTGATTTCTTCCTTGCTGATTCAAATGCCTTTTATTTCTTTTTGTTGTCTGATTGCTGAGGCTAAGACTTCTAATACCTTGTTAAATATGGTGAGACTGGACATCTGTGCCTTGTTCCTGACTATATAGGGGGGTGATGGACATGGAGGAGGGCACTTGTGGGGATGAGCACTGGGTGTTATATGGAAACCAACTTGACAATAAACTATTAAAAAAAAAAAGGAAAACCTCCCAGTTTTTTCTCATTGGAGATAGTATTAGCTGTGGGTCTTTCATATATGGCCTCTATGATGTTGAAGTGTGTTCCATTTATCCCTATGTTGTTGAAGGTTTTTATCAAGAATAGATGCTATATTTTGTCAAACACTTTTTCTGCATCTATTGAAGGGATCCTATGGTACTTATCCTTTCTTTTATAAATGTGGTGTATCACATTAAACAATTTGTGAATAATGAATCACCCCTGTTGCCCAGGAATAGATTTTACTTGATCGTGGTGAAGAATTCTTTTAATGTATGGTTGGATTTGATTTGCTAGTATCTTGTTGAGAGTTTTTGCTGCCTGTAATTCTCCTTTTTAGTGGAGTCATTGGTTTTGGAATCAAGGTAGTGTAGCCTTACAGAATGAGTTCAGAAGTTTTCCTTCCATTTCTATTTTTTTTTTTTTTGTAACAGTTTGAGAAAACTAGGTATTAACTCTTCTTAAATGTCCGGTAGATTTCCTCTGGGAAGCCATCTGGCCCTAGACTTTTGTTTATTGGGATATTGTGATTACTGAGTCACTGTCTTTGCTGGTAATGGATCTGTTCAAATTTTCTATGTCTTCCTGTTCCAGCTTTGGTAGTTTGTATGTTTCTTGGAATTTATCCATTTCTTCCAGGTTGCTCAATTTGTTGGCACATAATTTTTCATAATATTTTCTTATAATTGCATTTCTGTGGTGTTGGTTCTCTCCTCTTTTATTCATGATTTTATTTATTTGGTCCTTTCTCTTTTCTTTTTGATAAGTCTAGTCAGGGGTTCATCAATTTTATTAATTCTTTCAAAGAACCAGCTTTTCCATTAATCTTTTCTACTGATTTTTTTGTTTCTATATAACTTATTTCTGCTCTATTTTTAAAAATTATTCTTTAATTATTATTATTATCCTTTCTTTTGCTGGATTGCTACATACTTCCCTCTTCTGACCTCCTTTGCTGCATTTGAAAGGTTCTGAGCTGTCGTATTTTCATTTTCATTTGCTTCCATGTATTTTTTAATTTTCTTCTCTAATTTCCTGGCTAACCCACTCATTCTTTAGTAAGATGCTCTTTAATCTCCATGTATTTGTGGTCTTTCCAAATTTTTTCTTGTGTTTGACTTCATGTTTCATAGCACTGTGGTCTGAAAATATGCATGGTATGATCTCAATCTTTTTTACTTGCTGAGGCTTGATTTGTGAATCAGTATGCAATCTATTCTGTTTACTTTGGGAACCCTTGCTTTCAAGTGTACTACTTAGATGGCCTTATCTAATGGAAACATTCTCCATCAGGACAATCATAATTCTATGTTGTTTTTATTACAATGTTACCATTTCTTCATTATCTACCATTCTAGATAATCACAGCCCCCAGCCTCATAGTTTTTAGACATGAAATAAGTAGGTGTAGCAGAAGGTGACACACTTGACTCTACTGATTTTAAGAACCCCATTAGTTAAGTGTTTGTTTATAGGAAACAAGATAAACAAAGTGGGCATCTTGATGCCCAGCAGTAAACAAAAGCTGTCACTGAGGACTGGTTAAGTGAAGGCTGAAGCCCACCACTAGCAACTCCCATTGTGGACTAAACCAGCAGAATTCATTATGGAAACTGCAGACTGGAACTGGGGAAAGGACTAAACCAGGAAACTCCAGTAAATGGGGACTTCAGCGTGGAAATTAAGAAGGAATCCCAATGTGGAATTGCAGACTGATCAAAGGCTGAGGACTCACACTCCATTAGAATTTCCTGTTGGTCTAACCTACCTGTTAACCCTGGACTGGAAAGCCGATTATGTCAGGAGCTCGAATGCAAAAGGAGCAGAGCTTGACCGAGAGGGACTTACCAATGGCCCTCAGGAGAAGCAAGACAGTGAACTCAGAGGTGTTCACAGAACCTTATACCTGTGTTTCTCATTGCTCCCAAACATAGTCAAAATTGTGCTTCAGATCCTGACAGTGCCCCCAAGGTAAAACAAAAGAAAACAATTCAGCCAAGTAAATTTGAAGATCTCATTGGCTTTATTTTTTTTAATTTTTAATGGTTTTTTTTTTTTCAATTTCTGACAGAGAGAGAGAGAGAGAGAGACAGCATGAGCAGAAAAAGGTCAGAGAGAGAGACACAGAATCCAAAGACAGGCTCCAGGCTCTGAACTGTCAGCACAGAGCCTGACGTGGGGCTTGAACCCATGAACCGTGAGATCATGATCTCAGCTGAAGTCTGACGCTCAATCGACTGAGCCACCCAGGTGCCCCTCTCATTGGCTTTATTAAATGCTTCATGAATCAGGCAGCATTCCATCTAGTAAATAGATGAGAGCTCCCCTGAGGTTTTGTAACTGAACCAACGTTAAGTTTATCCTTGGCGTGTCAGAAATTGCTCCAGATTAAGTTGTCACACAAAGAAAGATTTATCTGCAGCAAATAAGGACAACATGACGGAATGGCTTCTGGTGCAGTGACTCTCCAAGCAAGGGTGAATGGATTCTCTTTATTTAAGTTCAGGGTGAATATTTAGATTAGGAAGCCTCCCCTTCCTAGGTAGAGGTGTCATAAGGTCATGCCCAGGGCCTTAGAGAAACATGCCAATAAGTGCATGGTGTGTTATGTAAATGAGGCCTGTGCTCTTCCTTGGGCAGAGATTTTAGTATTACAATGAGGTAAAGGTAGTTGTTGGTCATTTTAGAGGTCATTTGTTGGTACATCTGTGCAGGCAAGTCAGTTGAAGCTCCAACTGGCTGGAGGTCTTGTCACTATTGCCTGAGGGGTGATTTTGGTTTCTGTTTATCCGAGTTAGGGGATAAGCCTGGAAGAAGAGCTTACAGAAAAATGTGAGACAAAGTTTGGTGAGTACAATCAGGTGGGGAGTGAGGGTCAGGTCTTGGGGGCTTGCAGGCGACAGTTTTTAAAGGGAGAGAGAAGGCACAAAAAAAAAAAAAAAAGAAAGAAGAAAGGAATTTATTAGCAAGGAATGCATTGTTTAGGCAAGGTTGTCTTCCTAAGGGTAGTGGTAGGAGCCTATCAGTAAAATTTTCTAGAATTGGCCAGGAAATTCTAGGTTGACTGGTGAACAGTTACATCCTTGGGGTGTTGCAATTACATACAAGTTAGGTGTTAAGTCTTGGTTTACTGACTTGGGGCCCTAAGTGATGCCATTTGGGGGCCTGTGTTTATTTTATTTATTTATTTTTTTAACATTAGTTTAATTAAAAAGGATATAAGTCAGGAACAGCCAGATGGAAGGGATGCACGGGACAAGGTATGGGGAAGGGGTGCAGAGCTTCCGTGTCCTCTCCAAGCATGCCACTCTTCACCCACCTCCATGTGTTCACCAACCCCAAAGCTCTCCAAACCCCTTCATTACATAGGCACTCTTGATTAAATCATGGTTCTCTTGCATTGACTTCCCTTGGATCAGCTGGATCAACTGAATTAGCTGTGACAACAAAAGAGATAACTGATGAGGGCAGGAAAGTATCCAAAGGTCTATGGCAAGCTGGTGGCAGTATTGGGGTAATTTCTTAAATGACACACTTATTAGGTCTTTTGTGTATCAGGTACTGTGCTGGGTATTGGGTACATAGAGAAATGCAAGAGGAAGTGCCCACCCCATTCAGTCTTTGTTCTCCTCTCTTTTCTCCTGTTTCTGGTTCTTTCTACTTGGGCTGGGCAAGATTTGCTGCTGAGTTCCTTTTGGAGTTTGCTGCCTTGGTTGCTGTCAGTGAAACCCCAGATACTGTAGGTCTTATTCCAACTCTAGGCAGTGGAAAGTCACATTTTCCCTCTCAGGAGGTAATCGTCTCCATCTTTCAGTTTTGGCTGGAAATCTAGTGGTATTAATCAAGGCTTCTCTCCACCTAAAAGTTTTGTTGGGCGGGGGGTGGGGGGGGGCGGCGGTAGGGAAGTGGCACTTGGCACCTGGGTAGCTCGGTTGGTTAGGCATCCAACTCTTGATTTCCACTCAGGTCATGATCTAATGATTCGTGAGTTCAAGCCCCATTCGTGAGTTGGGGCTCCAGGCTGGCGGTATGGAGTCTGCTTAGGATTCTCTGTCCCTCCCCTGTTCACTTCCTCTCTCTCTCTCTCTCTCAAAGTAAATGAATAAACTTAAAAAAATAAGTTTCGTTTGGGCCAAAGGCAGGCCACTGCAAAATGTGCCACTTTGGCATATGGGTTATTTTAAATAAAACTTACTTAAGAAACAGTCATTGCAAAAAGAACACTCTGACTCCGCCTTGTCTTGAGAAAACAAGGCAGCGAATCTCTTCTGTAGAAGGTAGTCTCTGTGCCTGGAGGTAAATAGATTCTTATCACCAGAGATAGGAAATTTAGAGCCAAAAAAGCTGTTACTTTTTATTTAATTTACTACCCCAGCCCAAATTCTGTTTTGAATTCCTTACTAATTGAAGCTTCCAAAGTTATGTTTTCTTTGTCCTGTCGATTCCTCCCAGATTTATTGTCTCTTTGTCTAAAACGTATAAAAACTGTCGTCCTTGGTAATTTCTTTAGGACTCTGTTTCATTACCGGACCTCTGTGTGTGTGTATTAAAGCTTTGCCTTTCCACACCCCCACCCTCCTGTTAATGTCTCATGTCTTTTTAACTCGTAGACTAGCTGGAAATTCTTGAAAGCAGAGGGTGTTCCTCCCCTACGGTTGGTGTGGCCAGCTGGATCAACTTCCGCTGGATATTTGCTCTGAAGATTCTGCAGCTTTGAGGTCTTGAGAGATCTGACATAGAGCTGGCAGAAGGTAAGGTCTCTTACCATGTCAGCCTCTGTGAGGTCTGGTAGAGTGAGAGTGATGACAGTCTTTCTCTCCCTCTCTCTCTCTCAGATGAGATTAGCCGGAGAAAATATTTGTGGAACTAGTTCCTTCGGTTTCATGACTCTTGGTAAAATTTGGTAGAGTACTGTTTGCTTAGCTGGAGAAAATATTTGTGGAACTAGTTCCTTCGGTTTCGTGACTCTTGGTAAAATTTGGTAGAGTACTGTTTGCTTGGTGATCCCTTTCCTCTCAGAGGTGGTCTTTGTTTTCCTTGGTCTGTGTGTTTGGTATTATTTGTCTTAAAAGGGATTACCATAGAGCAGAACTCAAGCATAGACCTTACCAGCCTGCTGTACAAGCTGGCCCCACTAAGTGATTGATGAGTTCACAGTCTCTCATCAGTGTCAGTTTAGACGTACTTTGCTGTGAATCCTCTGTGCAAAAACCGGATGAGGGTTTTCCTTTCATCTTGGTCTATGTGCTAAGAGCTTGGCTTTGGGACCAGTGAGAACATTCGCTCTGGCCTCTGGAGGGTGCATTTGCTGGAGTGCACTTTGGTGGCCAGTTGAACAGAGTGGAGATCTGAGATGCCCACTGACAGGGACCACGCTCTTTGTCCGGCTGTGGCAGCTCTCAGGGGAATTTGTCATAAGACGCTCTAGACCATAAGGGCCTTTGTCCGCTCAACTTTCATTGCTGGTTAAGTGCTAGAAAAATCCCATTCTGGTAGCAAGTGCCTACTGACACAAATTAGTGGGTCTGTGACAGGAAGGGGGAGACTGGAGACACTCGACACACCATGTCATTCTTACCAAGTGTCCCCAAAGGCCTTTGCTTTCTTATGCTATTCTTGAGAGTAGACTTTTGGATCATGGGGACTTCATTGACTATACCCTTTCTAGGGATGCCTTTTGTATCTTCGGTTAAGCCATAAAAAGGCTTATTGGTTTGAGTCACTATTAATAGTAAGATCTTACTCATCAATGACCAGAAGGTGAATCCTTTAAATTAGTTAAATTAAAAAAAAACTTTATAGAGAGCTCTCAATTGTCTTATTGTATAAAGCTAGCCTTAGGGGCTCCCGACAAGACAAAGAACAGAAATTAAACTTTTCTCTCCCTACAAGATTTGTAGGCAGCATTCCAGCTTAATCTCAAGTTCAAAGTATACAAATGACTCTCATAAATGCTGAAATGTAGTAGAAGCACCTGAGACAGGCAATAAGGCTTGCTTTGCTCTGACAAGCCTCTGCCAGCTTTAGGCATTTCTATGCAATGACCTTGGCAGATACATGTTAGACACCCCACCCCAAACCTGCCTCCAACAAACAGAGAACTCCTGTCCCTTGAACAGCAGCAGATGTTTTAAGTTATAATGCCTCTTTCCCTTCACTTGCAAAAGACCCTACTGGGTTGCCTGTTAAGTCGGTGAAGCATCTGACTCTTGATCTCAGCTCAGGTCTAGATCCCAGGGTCATGAGTTCAAGCCCTGCATTGGGCTCCACACTGGGCATGAAGCCTACAGATATTTAGAAGAAAAGATCCTACCAAATTTAAAGGAAGTAGCTTAATGGCTAGTCACAACCCCACTCACAGAGAACTTGATTGGTTGTGAAGGGAAGTTTCTTTCAGCTCATGGTTACATACAGTAGTTAGTGATTAGTCATGCCAGAAGGCCTCCCTGGAACTCTGCCTCTCTTCACAGAGGAAGCAGATGACCAAAATTTCTTCTAGGACCTCCTTCAATTAATCGGTGGAAGGCTGATAGTCAAGGCTTAATATAATAATAAAAGCTCAAGGTTAAATTATGTCCTGAAAATACTTTATACAGAGTTTACAAAGGCATAAACTTTTGATTTTTATAGTAAATGAATAGTAGATGTTTTAGTTAAACATCTCCCTGATATAAATAGAGTTTAGTTAAAAAGGCTGGATGGGCACCTGGGTGGCTCAATCAGTTAAGCATCTAACTTTGGCTCAGAGTATGATCTCACAGTTCCTGAGTTCTAGTCCTGCTTCAGGTGAGCCCAGCTTCTCTCCCTCTCTCTCTTCTCCTTCTCTCTCTGCCCCTCATGGGATTCTCCCTCTCCTTCTCTTTCTCTCTCTCCTTCTCTCTCCCTGCCCCTCGATTATTCGCACTGTCTTTCTCACTCAAGGCAGGTCAATCCCTTGATATTGAGGGTGCAATCCAAATCTTTGGGGGAATAAAAACAAGTGTCTTTATCTTACAAGTCTCTACAAATCTAGAAATGCAACTCTAAAAACAAGTCAAAGCCCACCTATCTTTACCAATCTCAGAATCTTGCCTATTTCTCTCAAAATGCTTATAGATATTATAAGAGATCAGGATATTGGAGCAAAATTGTCCTAAGAAAAGAAACAAATTTTTAAAAAGCATTTAGCCCACATTTCTTTAAAAAAACAAAACGAAAACAAACTTGCATTCTTTCTCTATCCCTTAAAATTATCAATTTTTATCGTATCGTTGAAATGTAAACACAGCCCACACTTGCCTGAGACTGAAGGAAAAAGGCAGAGAAGGGAAGTCTTTTAAAAATACAAACTACTAAAATGGCTCTTATGCCCAGGCTCAAGCATCTCTGATAATAGGTCAGTATGTCCCCAAAAGTCCACCTCAGAGAAAATTTGGATACTTTCTCTATGCCTTTGTGATATAAATTTTCTACCTAAAGGCCATTCTTTGAAATACAAAGTCTAAAAACATGTTTCTCATCAGAAGGAAGTAAAAGAGAGAGAGAAAAGGTATATAAAAATCAGGCCTATAATGTTCTTGCCACAAAACAAAAACTCTAAGATCCTTGTTTATATCTGTAAGTATGTTTGCATATATGTTTGCATATATGTTCATATTGTTAAATAACAAAAATCCAACAGGGTAAATTTTCAAGATCTAATTGGCTTTATTCATTAGTTCATGAATTGGGCAGCATCCCACCTAACCAGTAGAAAGGAACTCCAAAGTGCCTTTGGAGACCAAAGGAACTGCTTTTGAAAGTAGGGATGGAGTGGAAAGAGATAATTATTAGCAAAGAATCCATTGTCGTAGGCAATGTTGCCCTCCTAAGGGAAATGGAAGGAGTCTGTCAATAAACTTCTTGTGCTGACCAGAAAATTCCATGCTGACTGGTTAAAAGGTTGCATTCTTGGGGAATTGAAACTGCAGTTAGTTTAGGTATTAAGTCTTGGTTTACTGACTTGAAGCTTTAACCTAAGTAATTCCATTTTAAGCCTGTGGTTTTCTTTTTAACAATACTTATGTTGTAAGGGTGAGATATTTTTCTACATCTGGATGGTATTACTAAAATTAACTTGTAAAAGAGCCCTATTTAGTTGGTTTAAAGGCAAGCACTTATTTTCAAGTTCGTATGATCTGGGAAAGTATTCAGTGTTAAAGGGAATTTAAGGTTGTTGGTTTAATTAAAATAGACTTGTCTTTAAAATTATCACCATTAAAATAAACTTTTATTCTGCCTCAGTTTAGTTCAAGTCAAATAAGTGGATACTATCTCTGTTGTAAAATGTTTAAAACATTTAGCTTGGGAAGACTTCCATGTCTCATATAGTTTTTATGGGTCATCTAAGCATAATTGTTAAGAACAAGTAAATTGAATGGATCTGAATTTTAAAAGGTTTGTAGGTAAACTTTTAAAGTAGTTTCCCCAAATCTTTTTTGCAAGTTGAAACCTTGAAGTTTTGCTCACTGATAAGTTAGGTTGAATTCATTGAATATCTGGCTTATTTCCAAATGAGATAAAATAATAAACATTAAATACTAAACATAGGTTTATCTACTTATAGTTTCCTTATTACAGAGAAACTAAAAATAAATTTGGGTCTGTTAGTAAACATGTTTTGTGCTTTGTTAAAAGATTGTACTATGAAGAAGCACATGTTTCTAGAAGCTATAAAATATATTCAGAAATTTGCCAATCTAAAAAATGCTGGGAGCGCCTGGGTGGCTCAGTTGGTTAAGCGTCCGACTTCGGCTCAGGTCATGATCTCACGGTTCTTGGGTTCGAGACCCGCGACGGGCTCTGTGCTGACTGCCAGCTCAGAGTCTGGAGCCTGTTTCAGGTTCTGTATCTCCCTCTCTCTCTGATCCTCCCCTGCTCATGCTGTCTCTCTCTCTCTCTCAGAAATAAATAAAACATTAAAAAATTTTTTTAAAAAATTGGTGGAGTGAGCTGCCTGGGTGGCTCACTTGGTTGAGCCTCTGATTTTGACTAAGGTCATGATCTCACAGTTCATGAGTTTGAGCCTCACATCAGGCTCTGTGCTGACAGCTTAGAGCCTATAGCCTGCTTCAGATTCTCCCTCTCTCCCTCTCTCTCTCTCTCTCTCTCAAAAAGTAAACAATAAACATTTAAAAAAATTTAAAAATGCTGGAGAAACAGACAATTCACATTTTTTACTACTTAGTTTTCACTAGAAATTGAAGTTTGTAAGGGTTAAGATTTGTAATTAATGTATGTGATTAAAGCTGCTAAAAATGAGGGTACCTGGGTGACTCAGTTGGTTAAGTGTCAGACTCTGGATTTTGGCTGAGGTCATGAGCTCACAAACTGAGATCAAGTCTAGTGTCAGGCTTGGCATTGACAGTATAGGGCCTGACTGAGATTCTTTCTCTCCCTCTTTCTCTGTGCCTCCCCCACTTGCATGCTCTCTTTTTTTCTCTCTCTCTCATATAAACTCAAAAAAAATTATAAATGACTAAGATTTTATTTATTAAATAAATGAATTTATTTAAGAATAAGTTTTAATATGAAGAGTACACTGATAGAAAGAAAATTAGAATTTGGTTTTTTTCTCTGTTATAAAAGCTTTCTTTGGGCGTCTGGGTGGCTCAGTCGGTTGAGTGTCCGACTTCGGCTCAGGTCATGATCTCACAGTTCATTGGTTCGAGCCCCGCGACGGGCTCTGTGCTGACAGCTAGCTCAGAGCCTGGAGCCTGTTTCAGATTCTTTG